GCCACGAGGCTGCGTACCACCTCGATAACGATTCTTACTATCTCGCTACCTGGAACCCCCTTCATCGAGAAGGGGAAAATAAAGAGACGAATTAAGATCCTCTTGTAAATAAAAGGGTACGTCTGATTATGATTAACGCTGAGACGGTTTTCCTGCTACGCATCTTATCGAACGTTGATAATGATAAGCAGAACGAACTCGACTTCGTGGAATCGTTATTCTGATTACGTGTGGTGGTTCGAGGTAGGGGGGGATCCATTTCGTATTCCTTCAATGGAACGGCAATGTTTTGACGGGCAATGTTACGTGCGAATGATTGCAGTTTATTAACCCTTCCGTAAGGTCTATGACTCTTTGTACCGTTTCTTTGTTTAATCGCAGATTTATTTATAAAAAAATTTTATTTTTTCATTAACAAATAATCCATCAGGTTCGAAAGGGTTAAAGTGTAAAAAAATATCTTCCCTTCTGATAGAAGGTCAAATCTTGAAAGGTTTCCAGCAATTTCGCAGCTGACAAACGAAACGTTCCGTTGAACCGTTGTCGTTGGAGCAGAACAATGTACAGCGAGGACGAGGCATGCATTTTACAAGCGGGTAACTCGCTTCAAGAGGTAGACGCAAGTAAATCGGGCATAAGGTAGCCTCGGTACACGCGTAACTTGGCGCGTGACTCAACATGTAAATGTTCGACGCTCGACTATTCGTTTGTTACGTGTTTAACCCAAATAACCATTCCAGGATCGGTGGACGATCGCCTGGTATCATGGGTGCAGCTAATGCCGTGCGACTACTATGGCCACGCCGAGTGGCGCCATTCCTCATAAGGCAACCTTTGCTCGCCGTCACACGGACCTCTGCTACCGTCACCATTCAAGGAAAAGCGGAAATTTTCTACGACAACAGCTGACACGGTCTTTGAAAAATATAACATTCAGAGTGAATTAAAATTACTAGGATAAACTGACTGTCAAAGTTTATTCACTTACTGTACGTAGTAATAAAAAGGAGTATGAAATTCATTCTAGTTACTGGATTTTTTTAAATAAAAAATTTAGGCTTTTTCACCTAAACTATTTTACTAGAACATAATATGTGAATTATTTTTAGTATTAAAAAAAATGTATCTCATTTTAATAAATATAAGAATAAAGTGAAGGCACGGTGTCTACCCTACATACTTTCGGGGGATATGTATAGCACGTGAAAATCATAAAACAACGAGAGGATCGATGTTTCTTGGCAATGATTGCCAGCGCGACGAGTCAACAAACTCATTGACTTTCTTACGCAGAGCCACGTGGACCAGGGACCAACTGAGTCATTGATTATTCCCGCGATCTTTCCTCCTTTCCCCTCGCAATTTACTGATTGTACAAACTCGTTGCGACAGCTCATGGTGCCAAGTTTCTTCCACGCATCTCCCGACGCGAGATCCTTTTAACACCTGCCCGACAAACGATCCACGAATATTAACGCGGGACATTTATGTCCAGCTGGTAAAAAGCGAAAGTTCACTTGACCGTTCACATCAAAATTTAAAAATATGTTGCAAACGATTTGATTGTTTTATTTTCTAACAAACAAAAGTTCAAAATTTAATTATTTCAGTTATTTTTGGGTAACGAGAGAGGCAGAATAACTAAAAATGAATAATTTCTTTGAAGGAAGGGAAAGCAGGTTATCGCGTGGCCTTCGCTTTCATGGAACTGCCGAAAAAAGAATCGACGGGAAGCGTGGCACGAAACGCTAATCCCCCTAGCAGGGCAAGAGTCTCGCTAATTTTCCTGGCCATTTGTTACCCGGCAAATGAAACGGTGGAACGCGAGTCTAGAAAAATGAAAGTGGGATTAGGAGGAGAAATATCGCGGGAATTAATCAGGTCAAAGAAACAGGAAGAAAAGCGGTTGCCTGGCTCGTTTAATGTCGTGATTCTAACGCAACGTTCGCGTTCCATTCTCGCTTCTATATCCCCTTTCGCCGTGATGATCGTATTCGTGACGGAGCCACGGGTCGCACTGATTAATTCACGTTTTCGAGGAAGGATGAAATTTTTCGTGCACGCACGCGTTTCCAAATTGCGTTTATCTACACCGAGAAATTAGACCGATAACGTCGATGAAAATAATCAGGATAATCTGTACTCGATTAACGAACGATTATAGAAAATGCGAGCTTATCAAGTCGAAAGTTCAAAAGTTGCATTCACCGACAACGTTGGAATCCAAAATGTACTCGATCGTATCTGTGCCGATAATTAAGCAAAGGAATTGCAAAATACCGGGCCAATTTCTCGACAGGTGTATCTCGGTCAAACGATCTGTATTTTTGTCGTACGGTCCATCAAAGCTTTCTCGTTCTACACCAATTATTACGTGGCAGTTGGAAGAGATTAATAACCGGGAAGGAGAATAAACCGATATCGCGGGCTATCGCCAACGACGGGCAATAAAAACGTGCAATAAACCGATCGTAACATCAACGATATTACGTCGTGGAATGAAAATACTAAGCTGACAGAGATGGAATATTTAATTACAATTATTCCCCGTTAATTAACGAACGATCGTGAAAGGTTCGGTCAGGTAATTAATAATCGGCAATGATTTTCATTCATTACACAGAGGGACGGAAATTAGGGGGGCGGGATAGAAAGGGAGAGAAACTGGAACTGTACGATGTACGACGCGCGAAGGTGTTAACTTTTGACACGAATAAACGCCTACGCACCCAGCTGGGTTGACCAACGCTGTTTACGCGGCTCGGAACATACGTCTTTTCGCTAGTTACACCGCTAACTCGAGTTCTGGCTGTGTTTACGCCATTCGTCTGGCACGCGCGTGCCTCCGCATACTGAAGTGCATTTCAAACGGAAACCAGGGACCCGCACCGTACACCTATCGCCAACGATCGAGCCTCGTTTCGCGAGAAAATTACACCGAGTTTCCTTCTCAGGAGGACACGTATTAAGATTTCTAGGATTCGGGGCTAGCGAAACTTCGAAGGCCTCCTTAACTAATAAATTTGATTGAAAAATTAAATTTATTTCAAATTTCTCTAATTGTAAAAAAAAAATAATTTTTTAAAAAATAATTAACTTAAAATAAATGATAAAAAATCATTAAATTAGTAAATACCGACATTGGTACTTCTTGCACCAAGCCACAGATACGGTTTTAAGATCAACGATCATTTGCAGGCACATTATAAGCAAAAGAGGTGAATGATATAGAGATACCGGTCGATCTAAAAGAAAGAGAAAATGAAGGCAAATAACAGTAGGCTGGCCGACATTAAATTTGCATTTATATTGTATTCCGTAATTTATGACACCGACTTATCTCGTGCGGTGGATATGTACGTGCTCGTAATTGTTTTCTCTTCGAATACACACTTCAGCTGAAACTACCCATTTGAAAAAAGAAAAACGAGCGAACCTACTAAAGAGGAAAAGGGAAAATATATTTGTCACACATTTTCTATGTATACCGGTCTACTTATAGTCTAAGGACTCGTTAAATTAATTGGAAAGTTCTCTTTGTTAATTCGAATTAATTGGGTAATAAAAGAGTTTACGTGGCCGCGCAACACGTGTACGTCCGAAAACGAGATTTCGCGTTGGGAATGGAGAAATGACAGAAGGCACGCGAAAATATCATGCGCGAGTTGCTTTGCCTTTACTACTTCCGGTCTAGTATCGGCTAATTAGGCTAATGACGGTCGAATCCGAGCGAACGTGGCTCGTAAAAAAGATGCTCGTCACGAAAGGTGGCACGGCCGATCCGGAAACTGTAGCCCTGCTTGACGTTTCATCGGTACATATACCGCGTGTAAATATAGGTCGTCGAACCAATCGTAATTCTCTTTTATCGAGAACTTTATTGATCGGACGTCTTTTCTTGCGACTCGCGGCTCCTTCCATTGTCGGTATTTACTCTGACCCGCTACTTTAATCATTCATTACACCCGGCAAATATCCTAGGGGATTTGGAATTTTTGTTCGAGCAGCAAATTAATTGGACTTGATTCTTTAATTGAAAAATTAAATTTTCTTATTATTCTTTAAAATTCGAAAGTCCCAAATAATTAAATTTTAATTTACTTAAAAACTATGACAGTCAACGTGCTAAAGACCATTTTAATTTTCTCTTTTTAATTCGCGAGAATTGCAGGGAAACAAGTTTGGTTCGTTTTCAAAGTGTACACCCGCACAAGAAGGAAACGCGTGTCCCGCATTTGTTTACACGGTCTCGATTTCCTTTTATCGACAGCCAGACTATCCGCTTTCACAAATGTGCAGTAACTTTCCACAAATAGAACAGTTGACCGACAGGTTGACAGCTTCGTCGTAGCCCAAGAGACAGATTCGATCGGTTCTAATCGAATTTCAATGATCGCGGTTCACTGACCACCTCCTTTGCCAGATATCGAGTTCCGGCCGGGTGTCGAGCACCGGAAGCATCCTCGATTATTTCGCGAAAGCGGGCACAAGAAAGTGCAGCTTACTAGAGAACCGGTAAAGTCTCTCCTCGGCTCTTGTTGCACAGATGAATCATCTTTACGTAAATTACAAAAAAAAAATATTTCTTACACATTTCATATCTATTATAATTAACTCCACTCATTTCATTTTGAAATGCTATAAATTTAAATTGAAAATACATTCTGTAATCCGCATCAATAGCGAGAAGATAATGGTTCGTTTGATTCAGAAATTTGTAAGAAGAGGTTACGAAGTGAAATTAATTAGTTCGTCTATTATCTTGACAAGCTTTTCACTGACGGACTAATTGTTATCTATCTATGAATCATTAGAATTAACCGAACCCGATGGATTTCGTTTAAGCAACTCTGTTCGGTGATAATTAATTGTATTAACCCTTCGTTGCATCATTTTCTCAATTTAGATTTAAAAAATTCATCAATTTTGGAACTCTCACTAGTGAGAATTATAGCCCTAGGCTCTACTTTATGTGACCGTAATTTAAGAAAAAAGCTCACCTCGTATATGTTAATTTACGTTTGCTTGTACATCCAAGAAGATTTATAGTACGTACCTGAAACACAAAACGAAACACCTGTCAGTTATCATTATCGTGCGAGAAAAGGAAATAGAATGACAGAATCTTTGTACGAATGAAATGTATGGTAATTTCCATTCAAAAAATATTACCAAACACAGAGAAGAAAAAGGAACTTTTGCACGCGGGTATTTGTGTATAAATGAAACTTGGTTAAATTTCAGGCGGTAGCTAGGGGGGGCTCATTGAATTTCAATCGACAGCCTTCGCCTGAAAGACATATTTCAGCCTCGATGCTTTTACCATTTATTATCATTGTAACATTCGTAGAAGGATGTTTTTATGTTGTAATCTTAATGAGAATATACGTTTATAATAAATAAAAATGATTATATAATATATAGTGGTACTTTTCATGTCACAAAATCCCAAAATCCCAAAGAATCAAGTTTCCCATGTCCAAAAATCCCCAAGCGTGAATTTATCTGTCGGATCCATGTTCCTGTGTCGAATAAGGCCAATTTGCACTGACCACTTTTCGTTCTCAACGTTTCTTTTTCGTGTATAAAATGATCAGGAAAGGCGCCGCCTTTCTCTGCCTATCCACGGCGTGTTAAGCTCATTAACAAGGGTGTTGTACGGCGTGGCGAGGTGGTGCGATGCTACTTGATTTATTGTCGGTACAACGACTGATACGGAGTTGCAGGCTTTTATCAGGTCGCCTCGTTAACGGCGAAGAAAGCAAAGGGGGCGAAGGATAGAGGAGGTGGAGGAGACAAAAGGCGAATTTCCCACGATCGGTCGACCTAGAGAGGATCCCGCCGGTAGCTACCGGCGCTATTCGTAAAAGCGACAACGCGAATGCTAACGAATCCTGTCGCCGCTCCGCTCCGTAATGCAATCCCGATGCTGACGCAGCAAAGATTGTCATCGCGACATCGTGGCGCCAGAATATCTCCAACAAACGACAATGAATACCGTCGAGAAGCCTCGACGCCGATTTTTTATCGTATTATCCTTCTAATCGCCACGATTAGACTTTAAGTCCATTACTCGGAAACATAGAGTCGGTGAGAATCAGGGGCGTGCGAGTATCCGAGCCTCGAATCGGATCGGGTTGGGAATTTTTTCCAAGGTACCACCCGACCCGACCCGAGACTCGTCCCTAATGAAAATTTCTCTGAAATGTAAAAATTTTTTACACGCGCAGTCTCTAAGCTTCGACAACTAAATTTCAGAAATCTCTGAAGCTGAAAACTATTGGAATTTTCTAAGGTAGAAGATGAAAGAGTTCCAGGAACTCGTAACACGATGCATTCCAAGATTCTACGGGTAGAGGAATTATGCAAACAGTGGTACAGAGGACAGAGGAGATTCTTGTGTATTCTATCAATAGGTTCAGAAACCGCTCGGTGGATCGTTAATGAAATAGAATTTCTAGGAGCGGAATATCATTCGATCGTCACGAGTTTCGTTCAACCGTGGATTACTTGTGGAATGTCCACGGAATCAGGGCACGCTCGGTCCAAAGATGCTGTCCGACGATGCCGAGGTACGTTTTAGAGGAAGCCAGTGGTACCAACCGACACCGTTTCTATCGTTGGATCTGGCAATCCTTGTTTCTCATTTATCCTGGTAGCAACAAATCTTAGACTTGTCACGGAAGTCCCCATTAGGAGCGAACTTGCTAGAGAAGAAAAGTAGGAGATTCTACGGTACACATCAAGCACCGCTTGTGTGGCTAAGAGGAAAAAGTCACCGGTACGACGCACCTGGCGCGTCATCGACTACGAAAGCGCAGATCGTTGCGTAAGGCGAAGCGTTGTAACGAGATCAGCTTGCAACGATTGCGCACCGTCGCCGCAACGGCATCTATGCCTAAGGTAATTGACCCGCAGCACGCGTTACGCAATTCTTAACGAGGTTCCAGGAGACTCCGATTCCACGTACGCGTACCTGGCTCCGCAGTTGACTGCGACGACCACGACCACGACCACGACCACGACGCGGACCACGCAGAGAGGCAAACGAACGTTCTCTCCAGGGTCGTTCGACCGCGTCGATATAGAACTCTGTGTGCGTCGTTAGACGCGGCCAGTAAGTATGCCATCCGGCTGGTTACACGATCGTCCTCGTACCTCTTCTAAGGACGGAACCGGACGCGGACCGGTAGGAAATTCCACCAAGATCGAAGATGAGTTCGATAGATGGCAACCGAAAGGTAGCCGAGACGCGGAGAAATCGCGCGGCTCCTTCGAAATGACGGGAAATAAACTTTGCTTGCGGCGGAATGGAATTTATGAGCGCTGAAAGAAACGTCGTCGAAGATGCTGAAGGGAATGACTCTCGCCAATAGCATTACATTTATTACCTCGGATGAACTTTATTTTGGGGCGCACTGAATAATTATTGTCCTTCTTATATCATCTAATAGTATTTGACGAGATAAATTCAAGAACACAAGTTTTAACTTTAGATATTCATCCGTTTAAAAGTTATTTTTGAGGTTAGTTTGACGCCATATTGGTTTCTACCCATAATTCCTCGAGATCAATAAGAGAAGTCAATAATTTATAATGAAATTATAAAATCTTTATAATGGACTAGATTGCTAAATGACTCAAGGTTTCCTTCGGTTTCTAGAATTCTTTTAAAAAGCAACAGCGATAGCGAATGAATCATTGTTTACCGGTGAAACATCTGTACAAGTTCGATATGCGAGTCACGACGGATGTCTCAAAGATGACGCGTAATCTTTCAAAGAGACCGAAACGACCTAGGAGAAATATAAATCGAGATTTCAGGTGTATACAGATATACACGTAATACCGTCTTACTAATATACCCCGGGCTCGTTTTCGCCCAGGGCAGATCCACCGAATTTCTCTATCCCGCGTGTCCTTTTTTAGCCCTCCTATGGAGGCGCCGAAGGGCACGTTCCTCGACGCGCTACGTGAGAAGCTACGGCTGATGATGGCCCGAGACGTGACTACGTTCGCCGTTTCTTTGCCAGTTTTATCGGCTTCGTGTCCCCCCCTCCCCCCGAGAAAATACGACAATCGTGGATCTCGATCGACTACACTGATTTCTCCGATCACGAATTATTTCCGTCTCTACCGTGCAACTTTAATTGATTTCTCGGAAGAATCTTTGAAATTCATCGGGGTATCGCTGAATTTGGAGCACGTTTATGAATACATTCCTGTTAAGCTTTCTCCGAGCAGCAGAACTAACCGTGGAACGAAAGAAAACAAGGTGAGAAAAAGGTGAGCTACGAAATAGAAAGCAACGAAACGTTCTCGTCTCCTTAGATATGCAAAAACGCTTAAAAATCATTCACCCTTCCGAAAGTAGCTCTCAAGTACACTCGATCGCGGTGGCAATTAGCCGAAAAAGAAAACGGAGAGACGGAGATGCAAGAAGGAGATGGATAACAGAGGAAGGAGCGGAGTTAGAAGTCACGGGTCGTAGTTCCGCCAAGTTGAAAGCTGATGACAAGTTTCCAAATGACGAGCGCACAATGCCGCGGAGACTGTCCTTCCTAGAGGAGATGAGTTCTTGATTGCGCCGACGTCGGTGCAGATGCAATGTCAAGGCATCGCAGAGACGCCGGAATTGCTTTGTACTCAATTTTTCCTCGCGACAAAGTGAAGATGTTTAAATAATTTAACGTGAAAAATTCAGAAACTCAGCCTAACGCGGCGATATTTCAAAGAGGAGAGTCACAAGCGTTCGGTCATCAAAGGGTGGCTCAAAAGAAAGCCAAGATTCGGTGGGACGATGGGGGGATGGGAAGAAAAACAATAATAACGCGATCCTCGGCGTACTGTAAATACTTGAAAGGGGGGAAAAGCGGAATAAAACAATAACGGGACAATTGGTCCACTTTGGTGCAAGTTTCCGCGGCGGAATAAAAGGTAAAAAGGGGTGCGAGCGGAGCTTCCACCCGGAGAGGACAGCGGTAGAGGTGGGGTGGAGAGGGTTGGAGGGATGGAGAGAAAGAGAGCAACGAAGGAAGGAAGGAGGGTGGAAAGGGGCCAGAGGGGTTGTCTTGAGGCCGACGCCCAGATCGATGCTCCCGTCTGAGGTTCCTGTAGGCGGAGGCTGTTGCAGAATTCCCTACCGTAAGGACCTCCGCGCTCCTTGTCGCCTGCACTTCCTACCCGTTATTTTCCTACCGAGTGGAGGGCCTTAAAACCTTCCAAACAATCTCCTCCTTCTTCCTATCCGCGAACTTTGCCCTCTCGATGGGGATCAAGTTCACTTCCGGCTAAATACTCTACTCGACCTCGTGCCACTCTACACGCCTTATAATTGACCCTTTCCTACCGAGCATATTTCTTATTTCTTTTTTTCCATTTCTCTTTTTCTAACCCTTCGAATGCGTCATTGTCGAGTCGATCGCCAGCGTATAGGCGCTATAATTTTCTGCGATGACGGTAATCCTTCCGAACGAGTGATTCATGAATGTTTCATCGTACGGCGTTAGGGTAAGCCGAGGTATTCCGAGAAAATCCAGTGGGAAGCACGAAACGCATCGTGTGTCCAGGAACGAGAAAAGAGGGAGCTCCACATTTCGCCGGACGATCCATCGAGCTATTCAGCCGAAGGGCTCCCATTGTACGGCATTACTGCCCTCCAGGGGAGAAGTCCAGCCAGTCTTAAGGGCACATGTGACAAATGCCTTTATTCGTTTCGCTCGCACCCTTCCACGTAGAAGGCACGTATACGCACTCTGCGAAAAGCATTCTTCTGCTCATCGTTGCTACAACTCGAGCACGTCCCATTACCAGGCTGGAAAATGTCAATAACCTTCGGCTCCTCGCGATAAACCTCCCCCGCGTACCTCCTGTTCTGAATTATCCCTTTCGCTAATTCCCTGTTTTACGGGGAATTATCGAGCACGCAACTGTAGTTTTCAAGTAATCGTGAAAAATATTCTTGACCGTCCGACTGTGCTCTCCTTTTCTAAGACGCGCGTACGCGGGGATGCTTTTCTTGTGTAACGGATTTAAAGGATCCGAACGATGGTGCAACACTGATTTACGATCGCTGGCGTTCAACGATAACATACTGCAGACGTAATTCATTGTAGCGGCTGAGTTACGTAAGCGCGTTCTGTGAATGAATCAGAAGTTACGTTTGCGCCGCGGCTTTATCTAAGCTGCCGCCTCGGTTCTTTTGCAACCGGTACGAGTACTTCTTTTTCCCCTCTGCTCGCATTTTTCTTCTACGAGAACACCGCCGTTACTCACCGTCCGCGTAATCGTTACAGGATATAACGTAACGAACAAGTCTTGACCACCTCTCGGTCCTAACGCTGTCGAATTTGCACTACTTTCGAAAATGTCGAAATTTTCAAAAGATTCATATTTCACTACCATGTGTAGTATGGAAAAAGCACGGTGAGTTTCTTTCATACTGGCTTGCTTTTCTGATGACAGTAGTAGTAGCCTTGAGTAGAGGGGCAAGAAGTGGGAAAGGGAGGAAAGCGAGCGGAGTCGAGCGGAATCGAGCAGAGCAAGCAAGCAGGCGTTACAAGCAACGATGAAGAGGCGGCAGAGTTGCGTAGCGTGTATCTATGTTTAGACGGCCGAGTACGTCACATCCGGTAGTCTGCGCTCCCCTTGGATCGTTCCCTCACTCTTTCGCCTTCCATCTTTTTCTCCTTGCACTTTATTATGCTCCTTCGTCGGCCTCTTTTTTCCGTCCTGGCTGGTTCACGCATTGTCACGTGTCCGTGACTCGTTACAACGAACTTTCAGCTTCCAACCACTACCGACTCCAACAATTATCCGTCGTAGTAGCCATCCGAAAATATAGTATATCGAATGCTATATTATAGCGTGTCCGGGGCAGAATACAATCTTGGAACACTGTAATTGTGTTTACAGGAAATCCTCCACGGACATGACCTACGCTAAATTGCGATCGCAACCTTCGCACCGACACGCTTATAATTATTGATTGATTTGTTTTTTAACCCCAAGGCTGACCACCTCGGGTTTTTTCCATGAACATATAACCGTCATGGGGTACCATCTTTAATACGCGTATTAACCTTGGCACGATTCAGTCTATTCATTCGGTTACCTTTGTTTCTAAATACAGAAAAAATTAATTTTTACAATATATCAGGGCCGGCTCTACCGAGGGTGCAACACGTGGCGAAATACTACACTATTGTACGGGTAGATAAAATTCTCAAAGACGGCGGACCATGGAGAGAACCCCAATTTTAACTTAATTTCGGATCTCATATTATTTTACATTGTTCTTTTGTTTAAAAATATATTTACTAAATTTTATCATTTTCCATACCTTATAAGACGAAGGACGAACTTATACGCTGACCGTGTTAATGATCGAAGTAAACAAAAGAATTCAGCAACGAATCAGACGTTAATCCCGATAGGCCAATTAAAAAAACACGGCGATCCAATTAAAACGTCAAACAGAATGGGCGTAGGTTTCACGCGCGCCAGGAGAAGGGAGCGTGTACGAGGCCAGCCACACGAGGAACACAGAGGGCAGAGAGAGAGCGAGATAGGGCAACCGGAGTAAAGTTTTCATTAACGAGAAAGTGCTTGGCGCGCGTATCGAGTCAAGCCGACTCGAGTTAAATTGCGTGCACGTTAAGAACTCGCGGCCCTCGTGTGTTGTCGATGCTCACCGCCACTCTCCTCGTCCAACCGACCACGTACGCCACGTTTACGTGTATGCAAGTGTGCCTACGTTTCTACTCATTCTCCGGAGCAACGCCACGCACGAGTACACACGTCGACGTACGATACGCGTTTACGTACGCGCCACGTTGTTCCGATTTATTACGACACACGCGTTTATTCGAATTTATTTAATTTTTCTTAAATGAAATTGTTTCAAATAATATTTACCTCGTTCAGCCTTGAGAACGACACGGCCCGCGTACGTTGCACTCGAGTTGGCTGCGTTCACGTGCGCGTGAATTATGACACGAGACGCGCGCTTTTCAGGTTATGTAAAAGTCACTAGGTTACTAGCCGCCGCTGGAACGAACGCCAATGAAAACAGAAATACTATAATACTACTGTGCGGTGATTAACCTTCTGTCTGGCGACTTTTTTAACTCAAAAATGACGGAGCCCGCTTGAAGTAGATAAATATATTTAAATCATAAGCGAACAAGTTTGCAAAGGTAGCAAACGGAAACAAAATACGTATACAGGATATTCGCGTGGGTTGCAAGATAAGTGGAATCGATCGTTCTCGGACAGCGCGCGTTGCACGTTAGCTACACAATCAATCGATTTTTCTCTTATCGATTCGGCCGTACAGCCTACATGCTTTCTACAGTCCACAATGCAGCACGTTCTACCTTCGCAGATCGGCCAACCTTGCAGCTAAGGAAGTTGAACTCCCCCGTAGCTAGAAAGTTTACTGAACCAAAACTATGTCTGTTGTTAAATTAATTATGAAAATAAAATACCCTGTATACACATTGCTACTTTGTAATATGAAGATTTTAAACACCTACGAATATCCTGATGTTCTTTTTTGGATACAAAACAATTCCGCAATCACTTACGTGCATCTTAAGGTGCATACATCACAAGAAGCAAAGGAAATTTCTTACACGCCCACGCGTTTGCCACAAAGTCTCCTCCTTCGAGCATTGTTGCAATATGAGCCCGAGGCACGATCGCATCTATCATCGCGAACAAATGACCGATGAAAAAATGATGAGTACAGGGGAAACAATGTAACGATCGATATTATCAGGCTGACAGGTCGATTTACCACATTGTTGGGTGGCCCGAGTTCAACCTCGTACCTACTTTTTCTTTCCCCTTAAACTTCGTACATTTAGATAAGTTTTTATAATTTATGTTATAATAAAGAGAAAGGAAATACCTCGGTGTGCTTATTCGTCACTGTAAATTGCAACTGGGCTATTCGTTTCCATTATGAAACAGAAACGTGGTACGAAGAGAGACAGGATTTTATTCCCCACAAAGTAGCGAAATATCAGGCTGACAAATCGCGAGGTGCGCGCGTGCAACTCGATACTATGCCGCTTGCCCGGCTTTTCTTAACAGTAGAAAGCTGCAGTAAACCCACGGCGATCCTCTTACACCGCAAGCAGATTGTTGCGATAAATAATATTTAACGAACTACGATACATAGTTTGGTGGTTTTATGAAACACGCGGAAGAAATACAATGTAGCAGTAAAAAAGAAAATATTTTAGTAATACGAGTAGCGCGTTACTGGGAGGTCAAGACGAGCGTATCTACCGGTACGCACGCGTTGTAAAGAAACGTGGCAGAATTAGTCGCGAGCGTGATCGAGTTTCGAGGATGGCAGAAGGGCCGGTCGTGTCAGCGTTTCTTCGCGGCGGGCAGGCGGGCAGGCGGGCGGGCGGGCGAGAGAAGCGGCAGTTTCTACGTCGTCATGAATCGCTCGAGTAGAACGCGTCGGTGGTGGCTGGCGGCTGGCTCGGTGGGGCAAGGTGTAGGTCTCGTGACGTAGCAGTACGTATTTCTCTACTACTACGTTGTAACCTCCGTACATTCTCGCCCCTCTGCTCTCGCCCCGGAATCAGATCTGGTTCTCAACCCTCTCGTGTGTAACCGGAATATGAGCAACCACCCCTCCACCATTCTCTGTAGCCAGCCAGCCAGCCAGCCAGCCAGCCGGCCAGCCAGCCGCCACCTACTCCGCCTCCTCTTCTTTCTCCTCCACGTTGCACGTCGTAGCCATGGCAATATTGATCGACCGGCTGGCCAGCCAGCCAGCCGGCCAGACTGGCTGGTATGCTCGCTCTACGCTTCCTACGACAGCCAACGGGCTTTCGGGGCCGACGATGCCTTCCTCGAGATCCTTCGATCCGCTCTCCACTATATGTATACGCTACAATGTTACGCAGCTACGTTGTCCTCGCTCCCTCTCTCCAACCCTTCTCCACCCACCTATCTACACCGTTCGCCTCTTTCGCGTGGCTCTCCCTGACTCTACCTCCCGTAATTCCCAATACAGACTAATTTTTCTCAATGAAACGATCCCGATAATAGTTTGTAATTTCTTTCAGCGATCCCGACTCGTCCCGCGACGCGTTATCGACCGTTTTCCCTCGGCCCCCAAGTCACGCCTACTCCCCCCCCCGCTGCCTCGAGCTTTTCAATTTTTCCAATTTTTTTACAATAATCCCGATCGCGCGCTTTCCGCAGCGTTAAATGGAAAACAAATTTCCTACCACTCAATTACACGGTATCTCGATCGGATACAGCAGTTTGCCAACCCGGCAAGCACAATAAAAACAGGCGGATATGCAAACACGATATCGAACCGTGAAATCGAATCGACGCTTAAGCTCGTATTTGCGCTGGATTAGCTCCGGCCATCAAAGATGCAGAACGCGCTCAAAAATCAAATCTCGTTAACGCTTTCCCCACCGCGCTTAAAGTTTCGCGCGTGGAAAACATTGGGACGAATGGAAATGAAATTTGGCGAGTACACGAAAGTGTTAATTGCCGCGGGAGGGGGGGATTTATCTTGAAACTTAGCGAAAGTTATCGTAAGAACCTGTTGCTCGAAATATGTTTTACCCCGGCTCGCATCGAAAGGTCCTGGATGCAACGATGCGAAAGCTATTGCACTTCGCCAGCGCATAAATTACCCGCAACCCTTTGGGTACAAAGCGCGTTACTAAAGACGCAGAAAAAGAATTATCGCGACGGGGAAATGAATAATTGCGTCGAACTTTAATCGATCTTCAACTGCGCGCCAAACGTATTCTTGCGTACAAAATTCGAATTAATATTATCAACTCTTCCACTTGAAATGGTGATTCAACTCAAAACTGATACCAGTTGGTAGTTGACTGAAGTTAAAATCAATAGGTATATTAACAGTAGAATTACCAAATGGGTCAAAATTATAGATTCCCTGTTTCATAAAAAAAAGAATCATATTTTTCTTTTAAAATGGCTTCTCAAGAACCGTTAAAATTTTCGCGGTTAATACGCGGAAAGTAATGGCATCCCGCGTAAACACACGTCCGGGCAAGTGGTTTGTCGCGATACGTAGGACTTGTGACTTGCGGTATGCTGGACAGCGGTTTGCTCGTACATTTGATACCGTGTTTTCCACCAAGCGTAGAAATCTTAATCGTAAAAAATAAAGATTTTTCTTTTTTTTTAATTCCAATCTACTCAACTTAGATATTTTAACAAGTAACAAGTAATATTTGTTAAATTTTCCAACGAAAGTTAAATATTAATTCTGATCACGATCCAATTATTACTTTTTGTTTCTTCGAATAAAATTGATCGAGTTGCGCCACACGCGTTCCTGCTGGATATCCTCCTTTATCACGATCCTCTGCGGGCAATAACGGTATCCGATTAAACGCGATTTACAAGTGAAACGACAAGAGTTGAAATGCCTTTGAAACGCGAGCGCAAGAAAATCACGGCAGATAGAGAGAGTGAGAGAGAAAGGGGTAGGGAAGCTGTCAGCGAACCACTTCCGCCCATTATTTTATCGAAGGGCGGAGAGAAGATCGCGACGAACCGATGGCCGGCAGCAGAGAAAACAGGAATATAAAGGAGACAAGGGGAGAAAAGAGGCTGCTTTTAGCGAGGAAGCGTCGAGTAACCGGCTTGGAACTGTCGTTGCAAAGTACACTTTGAATATTGGGCCTGGACCGAGGGTAGTGTGAGGCGGGGATGGGAGACGCTCGACAGACTGCAACTTTAGGTTAGGTCGCTTCAAACATCTAGATGAAGATCCCCTTTGACTCGATATCTTGATGAGATGAGCCGTCGACGAGGACTTTATGCCGACAGATTTTAAAACTCTCCAGGGAAAAACCGGATTACCGCTTTGCTTTCTTTCCTTTCGCTTCTCGTTTTTTCTTTCCCTTTTCATACACTTCGTATTGTTGTACTTTCATTTTGATAAAAATTATCGGACAGATCGTGGCTGTCGGTTAATCGTGACGATGGTTATAACAGTATCGACGATAAGATCGTTTGGTTCGCGCCCGATTACCCGCGCTACGTTCCCGCGGATTATCTAACAAAAGGAGCCCAGAGAAGTAACGCTTCCACTGACTATCAATTGTATCTCTATCGGAATCCCGGAAGTTGGCTCCAATATCGATGTTCCTTAGATCATCGCTCTATTCTTCGCGGCGTGGCACGGCGTTTACATCTGCGCAGCATTCGGAAGGGAATGATTGAACGAACGGGTCAACGTAAATGCCAAGCTGCCAAGGCTACAAATAATACCACGTGGAACGCGAGCTTAGCGACAACGGGTTATACCTTACAACTCGCACTCTGATTTTCCTTTTAAACTCTAACATATTGAATAAGATGAATATAATTTTAAAAAATATTGCAAATAGTTGCAAGTACTTTTTGTTTTATATTAAAACTAAAGCTGAACTGATCTAAAATTCAGGTTGAATTTCATTATTTTTATTTACGAGTTCATTTGATTAAATAAAAGTTTGAAAAAAAGAAAATTGTATCTCGCCGAAACATTCGTCACGTTAAAGGCCTTATTAGACCCACAACAAAATTCCCAACCTCTGTATCAAATTTTCTTATCTCCTAACATTCCAAAGTCTTCGCCTATGTAACCTCTACCTGCCCGTAAGAATTCCGTGCCTAAGGCGTGTGTCTGCTCTTTGCATCTTAACTGCCATAATAGGTTAAATACCTGGGGGGTCATCGATGATCGGCGTTATTGAAATCGACGGAACTGATTCTCATTGCTCAGTGGTAATATCGTAACGGTGAATGGTAATAAATTCATGACGCGTTCGATATCGCCGTGACAATGGTAAAGATTAATATTGTTGAATGAACAATGGCTCGCGTCGGTGACGAAGAAATTCACGTTAGAACGAGGCAATTTCCTTGGAACAACGCGCTATGGTTTACAGTGTCTGGAACGGAATCCTTGGATTCCCGAGTTCCGCAAATTACCGGAAGATGCGTGGCAGACGGTCGGACGAGCAGAAGAAGGATAAGAAGAAAGGGAAGACGAGCAAAGTCAATCCGTTGTATAGGAAGCAGAAGAAAGAAGGTGTTGCCGCAAGAAGGCATTATTAACCGTCTCGTTGAACAAAAAGGAAACAATAATTCTACCATGCTGCTGGCACTGCAGCGGCCCTGTATACATTTAAATGTACTTTGGATAATTAAGAATAATTGAAAAAAATATTTAAACAACGAAGAGTAAGTAGAAGCGTTTAAAGGGGGAGTCGAGTGCAGATGTCGTTCTACTCTCCCCGTAAGTGATCGACCTCGATTAATTAGCGGTCCAATTAACGCGACACGCGATCTAATCGCGCGTCGATACATTATTTATCCTTCAAGCGCTAATTGGCCAGCGACTAGGGTGTTCCTCCTGGCTATTGCACGATCCGTTTTTCACATTTTCGGTCCTCTATGTTTCTCTCATTATCACTTATCCTTCAGAACAAATTTATCATTAATTTTAATTAAATTCGAGTACCCGAAATTTTCGAGTTCTCGCACACCTCTACTAAATAACTTAATTCCAAAAAGGAGGCAGAGACATTTCTCTTCAGCCTACGACAAAAGTCGAACGTGATTGCACAAGAAATTACAAGTGGCCAGTTTCGACAAAGAAAACCGTCAAGAGCAAAGAATCCATGGAATCCGTGAAATTTAGCGCGGACGTTAAACGGTTAAACGTGTTTTCCTCGGACCGGTGGACCTCTCCCCCTTTTTTTCCCCCCGTTTTTCACCGCTGTTTTTCCTTTTCAACGACCGTTCACAGCTATATTTGTGGTGAAAGACAGGCTCGAACGTTTCCAGGAACGCGTGTGTCGGTACAGTTACACCGAGCGAGTAGTTCGGTGGGTGTAAACGAACGAGGGAACGAAAAATCAAGCGATCTCGATCCCGCGATGGGCCCACACGTCCACGGGCACCGAGTTAAAAGACTTTTAAGCTTGTCCCGTGCTGATTTACGGCGCTCGTTTAAAGCCCACGAGGAGCAGGATGCGATCGTGGTTCTCTCGTCGCGAAGGCGGCGATCCTACCTCCTTCGAAAACGCTCACCGGTTGAATTGCTTAATAAAACACACCTCTCTCCGAGGGGTTTCAAACTTTTCACACGCCGTTTCCTTCTTCGGCTTTTTTTCCCCCCTCCGCGAAGCTGTAAAACGTTTCGCGCGATTCGTCTCGCGAGTCGATTCAAACTTGTACTCTTAAAGAATTCGCGAAGGAATTCGTCTGGAACACGTCGTGTTCTCTTTGCGCGAGAGATAAGAAACGTTGCCTGGTGAATTCTTTTTATTCGCGAGAGATCTTGTTTGCAAAGGACGTTGATAGGTGTTGCCAGTTTTTCGTCTACTAACGGAAGAATACTTTATCGGCTTTTCGTTCCGCTCTATCAAAAGGTACCGTTTTTTATATTTTTAAAAATTTCATTTTTCTTGTAATAATGTATCTGAATTTCTTGTTAACCCGTTAACACGCGGACGGCGGATCCTGGAAATTCTCCACCAGAATTTCCGTTTTCTATTACCTATTCATCTTAGTAACGTATTAATATTTTTAATTCCCAGGAATTAACGGGTTAATAATAAGCGTAGTTCTATTGTAGAATCTGGTCGGAAAGTATATGACCGGAAAAACGTAGAATGAAGTCATCGTCTGACGCGGTTAGCCTAACCGATTCACGCACACACGCGCCAGGTGCGTCCGCAGCCAGGCACGAGTACGCGGGCGGCAACAGAAATGCCGTCCACCAGCAGGCAGGCATCATCATCATCACGGTCCGTGGTTGTCCGTGTACGCGCGTCGTACAACGAAGAAATACGCGAGGGGAACACGCACACAAGCGCGGGGCACAGCTCGAAGCGCGGAGGCGCAGTCACAACTACGCACACCCACTCGAACTGCATTCATTCATAAAAGTAGCGAGCAGAAACCGTGTGTGCCGCGCCCAGCTAGCCTCCGGCTCGCCTTTTACGAACAGAATGCACTCTTTCTCTTGGTCATTCCACGCCGAGTGTCCTTATCATACAATTCCTACCATTTGCGTCTAGCTTCATGGAACTGACGACTTTTCGACTAGAGAAAATTGTAAAGCCCATTTACCTTGGTTGAGCAACGGACTATGCTGCCCTCGAAATTTCGGGTATCTTATTTCTCGGATACCTGCATACCCCTAGAAATAAGACTTCCTAGCCGAAGAAGGTAAATAGACACCGTTACCACAGCACTTTAGTACAGTCGTAATAACGCCATCACCGCAGTAGAAACGTATAACACGCAGAAATAATAGAAAAACTTAACTTCTTGCAATTTAATACTCTGAACGGTTGAATCACACGATAAAACGACGGAGAAGCTGTTCGGGTATCGAGTTATCGGGCTGCAGGAAAAATAAGAGGTAATAGCAAATCGAGACAGCTGGGTATCTCGTCCAGGACCAAGTCTCGTCCTGGTTCTGATCGGTTCGGCCGCGCTCAAGGCCGTATAAAAAGCCGAGGCACGCCGCAAATGCAACCGCAACGGCACCCACCGAGATATAAAGCGATAAGAGGAAACCGACGAGACGACTGCACCGTTTTCCTTCTTCTACTCTGGTCGCGGTCGCTTCGTCTCGATCGGGAATGAAAACGACCGACCGATCCGGCTGGCTTTCAAGCCTCCGGCAGAAAAATACCGTGGAAAGAGAGACGCGAGAACCGCTGTGGCCCATTGGCCAGAAATCTTACACGAAAATCCAGTTTTGCAAAACTGCACCGGGCAACCTCGTTATCTGAACTCGAGCACGACCGGACGACGCGGTTTCCTCCCCTCCCCATCGCGCCGCAGAACAGACCAGACCAGACCAAACCCGACCAGACCGTCCAACCGGTTTCGTTCATGCACGCCTCCTTGGTATTTTAACTTCCTCCGCTTCTTCTTTCATCTACCCTTTCTCTACGCTTGCAGCACATTTTTCCCGGCTCCCAGCCCCCTAATGCGCCTATTAAATTCCACCGAATTGCGGTGCTAAATATTGCCCTGGTTAACGACGCGAGCCCTCCTAACACGCTGCCACGATACTTTACGATCAATTTCAACATTTTTCCTTTTTTATCCCATAGTGTCATAATTGCTTAAGAATTCAGAGGTATGTCGTTGAATTTAGAAGACAAACGATTCGTTCGGAAACAAATATTTCTGATTTTAACAAGTCGATATCAATTTACGTTGAACCGCTTTGTTCGACGGTACAAAGGACCGATCGAACGCGACTTCCGGGAATAGCGTAATTATGCAAAGTTCTGCCAGGCTAACGCCGATCCCATTTATTTTTATATTCATGCATCCCAATTTACGGTTACGAGGTACGGGATAATGTCGCGGTTCGCCGGTGATCATCGTGGTAATTTTCAACGTGCAACGAACAAGAAGGTACAAGTCCATTACTATGGATGATACCTCGAAAAAAATAGAAATTCGACAGACGAGGGTAAGAAAAATTTCCAAAGTGGTGCGAAAAGCAGTATCCGAGGGACGGATAAGAATAACAGTGAATACGGTGGAGGCCATGCAACACATTAAGCGGTCTGAAGTGGAAAAGAAGAAAAAAGAAGGAAGGGAGTGGATGATGCGGTGGAACAAGTGGAGAGAGAGAGAGAGAGAAACGAGTATAGAAAGGAGAGCGGTCAGTTGGAAGGAGAGAGGAAGTTCAGTTGGCCGGTAAGGTTGAGGTTGGGATTAAGTAAGGTTAGGTTGGCAACGTGGTAGACGACTGCAGCCTGAAAATAGCACGGCACTCACTGTCTGGCTATGTGGCGTCTGTACTCCCGCCAGTCGGTCCGTCCGTTTATCCGTTTGTCAGTCCGTCCTTTCTCATTCGTCTATCCGTCGATCTGAAACCGTATACACACGCCACACAATCGCATCGAGCCGGTCTTCTACGCTTTATTCTGGTCGACGCGCCGCTAGCGTGCTCGCTTTTCCCGGCCCGCGTCTCGACGCTTCGCGCCGTCGACCACCACCTCCTCCTCCACCTACACCCTACAACTTAACCCTCCCGCCGTTCTCTTATAATAATCCTCTCTTCAGTCACGACCTATGACCAGTGTGCGCATGCCACCAGCGTTCTGTACGAACCGCGAAATATTTCTACATTTTCTCGCGGTCTTTGTGAAACGCAACGCCTCCACCGACACCGTGCGCTCCCATCGCGGCTGCTAACGTTCCGGACACCCGAGAACCGACTAGACGCAGACACGCTGCGGTCAACCGATCGTCTACGTGAAAAACGCATGTGAAACACACCGGCCGGAGGAAATATGTCGGCGGACAAATTTTTCTGTCGCGCACGCGTTTCACGGTACAGTGATCTCGCCGAACGAACTGTGACGAAACGTTCACGCGATATCGCGGGCGGATACGTTTTTTCGAGCTTCACAGAATTATTAGGTATACGAATTAATTCGGCTTACTTTATCGCTAGTAATTAATCCTAGGACGAGGATTTTTAATAAATTTTTTATAAAAAAGTACCGAATTAATTTGTATACGCAACATTTTATTAATGTTAAATGTTTTTATTTGTTTTAATTGATTAATAAATGAAATTGAATGAACTATCATCTGTGTGTAATATAAATTAATTAAATCATTATTAATGGGTGATTCAATTGCGGTATCCAAGAGAGTTTATTCAAGAGCTGTTCAAGAACGTTCGCATGAATGGACGAAGATATTAATCGCGCTAGAGGTCAATCATTTTTCCATTGACTAGAAAACAACAAAAGTCGGTTATTGGAACGTTAATAGGAGATAACCCTGCCCTCATTCATGAGAATATCCAGTTACGTATCAAGCGATTAAACAACTGAATGAATCTATCCACTGATTTCTATCTGTCCGGTAATAAATTTAATTTTTTCCATTACAGTAATACGAATCGTTATTATTTTCTTTTCCAATCATTGCTCGATCAACTTTCTATCGGTAAAAGTTATTGCGAAAATAAAACGAACCTTTATTACAAACATTCGATAGAATCTAATATCTACGGAGGCACGAAAAAAATTGGAAAAATTTTTCCATCGAAATTGATATCGGATCGAGTATCGAGCGTCGAACGACGATTCGGTTAACTGATCTTTTAATCAGAACTGAACTGTACCGCGTTCGTTTCCTTTTATTTTTTCGTCCTGTTACGAAAGGGATCAAATTGATTTTCAGTATTCCTCTATTCAGAGCGTTGTTTTAATGGCGCCGTGAACGACGTACGGTAGAAAACAATCTTGCCGGCACGGATGGCTCGTAAAACTTGTACTTGACCCTATTTTCGCCACGGTAACTACTGTTGATGTTACTGCCGTGGACTCTGTACGACTGGTCGCCGACACGAGCGGCAATAAACAAGGGTGACTGACTGTACAATCAGAGTCGAAGGGGGATCATTTATCGCGCCACCAATGCCGTAGATTATAATCCAATTTTATCGTCTTTTAAGCACCGCGTCGAATCGAGACGCGTAATTGGAAATTATCCCGCAGCGTGAAACTGGATTTTCCAATCGCGATTCCCGGTATTTTATATGAGACACTTTCAACCAAACAGATGCAAATGACATTTGCATTTATTATCGTTCATATTTACAATATTATATTTAGCCATTTAATTACCCTAACTAGCTTGCCCTAATTAAAGGAATCAATCGATTGAACATTTTCACACGATCGAGGGAAAGCTAAGGATATTCGATTCTGATCGAACTAAAAAATCGATACAACCACGTACGTCATCGTGAGAATGTTCCTTCCATTCTCGGGTTCAAACCTGATCCGAGAGAAAGCTGGTTTGAAAATGCGATACCGGCCGACAGCAACCGTAAATGACTGAATCAACCGATGACTCGATGCAAGAATATAGTAATTAATAATCTTACTGGACCGATGGTCAATTTTTAATACTTCGGAATACGTCCTGTTTGGACGTGACGAATTTTCCTCGGTATACGACATGAATTTTTTCTGTGAATTTTGCGTCATTTTTAAATAATAATCAATTATATTCGGAGTTGATGTCCAAACATCAGGAACGGATTAAAGTCCTATACCGAGGTACCACTGTATTTACAGTGTGATCGCATTATTTTAACCCCGTAAAGACCAAGTTCTCAGGGTTAACGGGCAACGTATGAAAATATTCATATCGAGTTAGAAAAATGAAAGAGAAAAATGTATGAATTTATTCTTCGGCTCGAAAGTGTTTCATTCATGGTTGGTGCAGTGCGAATACACGGTACACGTTACGAATACACAACACGAGAGGCGAGATGTTATCGGATCGTCGGTTGCCGGTTTGGCAGATTAGGATAAGACGTACTACGCACGTAAACGTCACATAATACCACCTTCTTCTTCCTCCTTTTCCGTCCACGTAATCAGCGCGTTTCCTTATTCGTGCTTAGAATCGCTGGGGGAATACAGTTCCAACGAGCTTCATTCACGTTTCCATTTAGTGGCCACTCATAGTACGCTCCGCGTTGTACTATATCCATTACGCTTCATGCCTATGCACTGAATGTTTGCAATGGTAAACAGCGATGGCTACGAACCTGCTTCAATCTTCAACCCACAAATTAATTCCTCCGTGACAGGACTTTTAATTCATAATTTCAAACGTGAAATTTCCATATATTTTCATCTCGTAAAAGTTTAATTATTAGAGATGAGTGAGAGCCAGAAAATTTCTGGTACTCGGACTCGCAATTTGAATCGATATTTTCAAAATCCCTCACACCCCTATTGATTATTATATTTAGCTCTAAATATACGAAATTTACTTTTCTTCGAAACTGATAACGAGAAAAGTCGAGGACTTCGCTAAAAATGGCCAAGTGCATCGAAATCGTGTTGCGTGTAGATGGCGAACACGATCTCTGGCTGGTAATCAGCTTGCCATTGCGTGAACATGTAACGCAACGTTAATTGCAATTAATAATGTTATGCAATTTACCTACGTCAGTTTCCTCCCCCTCTCTCTCTCTCTGAAACCGCAACGAGGTTGACCCTTTTACTGCAAAGGGCAGCGGTGTAACACGACAAAGAATCATCTGTTGCTTCTATTTTTTTTTTCTCTCTTGGTAATTGTGTCGCGCTAATTGCCCGTTCATCGATTATAAATTGCTTCTGCGTTCGGAACGAGCGGCACAGGTTCGTTCACCTCGGACTGTCCGGGATATATAAACTTTCTCGCGACATAGCTCGACTGTACCGCGAAATTCAGTGCACGTACATTCGGCTTAAGGTGCTAAAAACACTTGATTATGAAATTATTTGGTAAATGAGTCAAATTGACTCGCTCCGGTAATCTAGTGTTAATAAAGATATGTTATTTAAAAAGAAGACATTAGAAACGAATTGTCGGTACGAGACTCGACGTTTCCAGGGTTAACTGCGTATAATGAATGACTGATCTATAAATCGAAGAGTTCCGAAGGCGAAGCCTCGTAACTTAATAACCCCTGGCATTGAGAACGACGTTTGAACAATTATTTTGGTCGTCGAGCAGCAAACGAGCTATTTGTAAACAGAATGTTTGTCAACAAGCAGATCGGTTCATTATGCCCTCTGCTACGTTTGCCAAGCGAATAAGTTCGCGATCGTTCAACCCGACCTCCTTTTCCTTTTCTTTTTTTTTTTTTCCAAGAACCACCTTTACACGGGTCTCGATCATCGACCAAGAAGAATAATCGCGTTATTCATAGATCTAAATACCTCGAAGGCTAGCGATGGTCGTAAAATGACTAATTAACATTTGAAAATTTGATAATCAAGGATACACGACATCGGAAATTAATTTTCAATTTCTGTGGCTGCAGAGCAAGATTTTTAATACAGATTAGATAAACGTGAACGAAGGGAAATAATGGAAATTCAGCGCGGTTAAAACGAGACACATCGAAGGGGGTGAAAGAAGGAGGACGGTAAAAAGAAAACACACCAAGTAGGCGATACTCTCGATCCATTTGACCGAGTTTTTCTTACGTCGCTTGCCTTTTTGCCCGATCTCCCACTCGTGCCACGTACCCGCCTTACGAGATCGTTGACCGAATGACACGCTCACCGCTGCTACTTATCTGTTTAACCCTTTCGCTACGATCCGTCTTTTCAGCGGGTCGCAAGTGTTTTTCAATATTCATTGCCATTGGACGAGGACCAGGTTGTCGAACTTATTTACGTCCATTTCGTGTACGTGCGTTTTGTCAGTCGCGGCTGCTCTGATAAAAGACGCAGCAAACGAAAGTCACGTATCTCTGATTTTAACGTTATGCAATGCATCGCTTTGTAAATAAATCGTCTTTGCGCGTCGAGAAAAGCGTTGAGAAACACTGACGTAAACTATATTTCCCTTTTGTAAAAGATTCTAAAACACACGTTCTATGATCGAGACTTAATTGTATCCACTGTGGCGAACACCTTAACAACCCGTAACACCGTCTTTGTGTAATCATGAGAAACAATTATACGAGATAGTCGAATAAATAAGCGAATGCAATAGGCGCCATCGTTACGTAGAACGCGTCGAGTACATAATGAAAATTATAGGTGACTAATGAACAGAAACGTGTAATTCCGAGAACGATAAGCATGATCGATCAGCCGTTACGTCATATTTTAATTTATCAATTTATAACATCTCGACGATGATCTTCGGATAAATCGAAACCGAATACAGTAAACGCTCGTTAATTCCTCGTTATATGATTACATGTAAAAAAAAAAATAAATAGCACCAGAGAAACGAATGAACTATGAAGAAAACACTTATGCCATTGACGCTCGATAATTTCCTGTTCAACTCTAGAATCCGAAATGCGGGGAATTATCGAACGCTTACTGTACCTCGTTACCGTACGATTTATTCGATATTCTGAATACAATTACCGAGGAATGTATTGCGCAAATGGTAGAAGAAAGCCAATGAAAATCTTGTCGGTTTATAAGGCCGTGAAAATGCAGGTGCAACGGTCGTTACGTACAATGGTGTCATTACAGTAACTTATTACCGACAAATGACACTAGAATCACCAGTCACGTTCTATAAATACGCACGATGACTCCTGACACCAAGGTGTGTCTAGGGACAGGTCGCCGAGTGAAAGACCTACTGTTGTAGAACAATATCGAACAACCTACATTCTATGTTTGTTTATTACTCTAACGTGCCTAATTTTATTATTACTCTAACGTGGAAGGTTTTACTTTAATTTAATTGATGCGGCGGAGTCTTTTGGAAATTAACGGATAAATTATGGTAGAAAAATCTATGGTAATTTATGGGTCACGGTTATGGCGATAATCTACATTGATGCGCACCCACGACGCGTTTCAAAGGTTAATTATACTTCGTACCTAGACGGTATTATGAAAATACAAGTTGATAATTACCAATGGGAGAAGTTAATCACGATGATCACGTCAATTTTATAATTAACTGTAATTTCATCCAACATCGCGCTAAAATAGTCCTATCGTACCCGATACACGGTTATCGTCAGATACTTGCATTGAGAGAGACGCGGGTATGCGTTTCTCACGTTTCTATCATACCTTCGCCGTATAATTCGATTCTGTGTTATTTTAATAATTAGCACGTCGTGTGTTTCTTACTAACGACCGATTCGCACATCTACGAGTCATTATCGGATGTAAATAAAAAGGGTACATTTTTGCACCATGAAATTATCATGAATGTGGCAAAGGATTATTTGCAATATTTCAATATTCGTTGATTTTCATATTTGAATTGATTATACATATACTAAATTTTATAATATTTATTAAATAAAAATTATATTATTCTGTTTCTAAATTAATTTTAATATCAATATCGTTGAAATTAAGATTTTTAGAACTTCTGCTTTCCCTAGGAAAACCTGATTCGATCGCGATCATCAACCTCAATGGTAGGTTGATTGAACCTTAACACCAGATGATAAGGACGATGAAGATGCGCTAACGGTATAATTAAGTCATCCGCAGAAATGAATTAACGCCGCGATTGCATTATAATTGTGATTCTCAAGTATCCCCGGCCTTGCTGTTTAGAAGCGTGTCGTTGGTAGGAATATGCACGCGCTTCGTCACCTAGGAATGCAGAAGGTAACCGGAAGCCAGCGGTGTCTCGTATAACGGGCTGCGTTCTAACTTTGCCGACATCAGCGCAGAAATACCCGGTATACTTTCATTTTTGTCAAATAACATAATATTTCAGCGGAAAAAATGCGTTACCTAACAGTAAACCTGGTTAATCGAAACACAAACCTATAAATGTGGTATTATGGGCTCCTCTTGGTAATTTTCATATTATAATAAAGGCATCAGGCTCTGAAATTCAAATAAGTTTTTTTTTTCTTTTACTTTCACCTTTTATCATAGATAATCTACACTGACGTAACTAGATAAGGGGCAAGGTAAGACTGGAGCGGGCCCCTCATCATTTTATAATTATAAGATTCTAAAATTTAAAAATCCCAAAATGTGAAAATTCAAAAACTTCTAAATTTTAGATTTTCAGAATTGTAAAATTCTTAAATTTCTATGGGACCTGATTCATCTCAGAAAAAAATCCTAGTTACGACAATGGTAATCTAATTAGATCATCTACATTTCACCCAAACTTTAAAGCAGTTTAAATTATGAATCTAATTTGAGAAAGGAATATAAAATCAGGAGACCATATTACACATCCTCTCTATTAAAATGGGATCTTTCTCTTTATCTAAGATTCCGAACCGTTCAGACATACTCGGTAATTAGAAACTGCGAAACGAAATCCAATCTAAGACGAAAGAAAATAATCCGTCAAGCTTGGTCGATGTTTCCCGCAACGCTTCTCGTCGAAGATCTTTACAACTTTCTCTTCTGTCGGTTTCGAGACACCTTGTAGAAAGCAACGGCTGTATCGGCATCGGCGTGCTGCACACGGTATACAGGTATACAGCGAAGCCGAGGAGAGAGACCTTTGTCGGTTGGTCCAACCGGAGAAGGAGGGACCCGAAGGGACTCGGCCCGAGACAAAGGGACGATCAGGGCCCCGAGAGAAGGGAGCGGAGAGCAAAATGACCCAGATGCTCCCAGGCCCATACATTTAGTTTACGTTCGGCACAAAAGCCAGGAACCAATTGGTAAGCAAGTTTGTCCCGAACAATTTTCTCTTTCCTTCTAAATTCAAATATTCTTCTCTCTTTTTTTAAATTATGCAAAATGTTTCTTCAAAGTAAAAGAAAATAAATTTAACAAATTTTAAATTCAAATATTCTTTCTTTTTTAAAATGATTCAAAGCAGTAGAAAATAAATGTAACAAATTCTTTATCTTAATTTTCAATTAGAATGCTAATTATGCAGAAATTTAATAAAGTCTGTATATTAAAATTTTTAATTAAAATGTTAATTGTGTAGTTACATCTACATCAAAATGAAAATTTTTTTCTTTGAATATAGTAATGAAAAATATATTAATTTTAATTTGAAAACTGATCACGTTGGTGGGATACATTGTAAAATACCGAAACACAATTCCCCTGGTAATCTCTTTTCGAATTTGAAATTTAAAGCGACATCAAATATTCAGCCGTCGAAGCGTTAATACATGTTATGAATTAACGCGATTTTATTCGCGTTACCTCACGCGCGATTCGAGTTTCGTTAAAAGGCAGACGAGAAAGAGAAAGAGAGGGGATGGGTTTTATTTTTATTTTTGTCTACCGAGCGCTAAATGAAAATGGGTCGAGGCATCTGTGCTCATTTACTCTCCTTCTTATTTCTTTTCCAAAGTGGTACCGGCTACAAAAGGCGCGACGCTACTCGACCGTGTCCCCGTATGCAAGTACACTTTTTTTCGAAAAATCGTTTCCACGAAAGCGATCGATCAATAAGAAAATCGTTCGGTAACGAGCAAAAAAAAAGGTTTTCGGTAGCGACAAAAAAGGAGTCGTAGAAGGTTTGGAGAACGGACTCGTTAATATTCGCTACGTTAGCGAGCCGGGAAGCGTGGAACCTTCGTTCTTTAGTGGGCCAGGGCTTGGCGAAAAATTTCGTCGGCTACGCTTTGGCCTTCGCCGGGAGAGAGAGAAGGAACGGTGAGACGAGGCCAAATACAACGAAAAGGACAAAAAGGGAGAAAGAAAGGATGGTGGGGAGAAAGAGCCGCGACGCGGCCGAGAAGGAAGGGAAAGAGTGAAAGAACAAAAGGAACAGGCCGATCTCCTTAAGAGAAATGCGTGGGAATTGTACCATGTGGCTCGACGACTGGTTCGCGAAATATCTCATTGCGAAACTACCTGTACACGCGGTACATACTAAACTCCCGTATATGTCTTATTATTTTTTAGAAAATTTCGCTAAAGGGATCTCTATTTAGTCGTCCATAGTCGATACCAACAGCTTTCACCTGATACATATGTGCGTCCATAGTAGTCAAAGGGTTAAAATTGCATTACTTAGTACTTTTCCGATAAATAAAAACAAAATGAAATTACACCCCTTTCCTCCCCTCCATCATTAACACGTTGACTGTCATGGGGGTCACCGGTGACCGGCATCTCAAATTACACGCACTCCAATAATTAAAAGAAAACGATAGAAGAATATTATTTTCAATAGTATTGTTATTATACTAATAATGTAAAGTATCAAATTAAAAGCTTGACATTTGAAATTTGAAAATTAATTATTCCTATTCTTAATAATTAGAACTTTAATACGTCTCGTAACAAATGCCCATTTTCACTGTGGCAGTCAACGAGGACCAAAGGGACAAATAAAAAAGATCAGAAAAAGAATAAAAATAATAATAGAATAAATATAGAGAAAAAATAATAATTCCCCTAGGCATAAAAACCCTGTGGAAGTATATAACTACTAGAGCAATTTCTAGCCTGAAATTGATCCATCTAATCCGAGCAAGCTGTTAAAGGATAAAGGCATCAGCTGAGATTATTCAGTATAAAAGCGGTCAGTGTCACACGATTGAACTAAGGCGGGAGAAACGATTAAAGAGCACCGACGCCACGTATCGAGAGGGTCTAGTTTAACGGCGTGGGATCGTACGACGACTTTCACGCGCTAAAATTAGGCGACAATTGGTAAAAGTCGCCGACGCGACCGCTGCTGGTTACGTAACGTAACCCACGGGGGGTGAAACGTCGTTGGCTTTCATTGGCGAAATCCAGCTTTGTCCGAGGAGAAACAGGTTACCGTTTCCGGTTCACGTGTTAACCTTAGCAGGAACGACATATCCTGTTAAGGACACATCGTTCCTCGCTGTCGTGACCGTATGCGGCCAAACGCGTGTAGCGGTCGTTAAATAATTTATTCCGATACTTAACGGGATTTTTTTTAGGCGATCTTCATATCTCAGAAACATGCAAGAACAATCTTCGAAATTTTCCTAGTTGCAAATATTTTTACTGCATTTCGCTATCTGCAGTTTCACCGACCTCGTTTTTCATTTTCTGTACACAAGTTTACTTAATTCCTTGAGAAAAAAAATGTATTAAATTGAAAAATGAAATTCCATCGAAAATGCAAATTCTACTCCTTTTTTTTTCAGAAAGATAGACGAGTTGGATAAATGATGCGCAACAGAGTGGTACTATCGAATAATCCACCACTCTGACGGATGATTGATGATTTTCGAATCGTGTAAAAAGTACGGCGTAAGAACAACTTTATGTACGCATTGCACAGTTTGCACTCGTGAAAAGTTCCAAGTTTCAGAGAAATCATCATTTCCTTTTACGTGCAAAATGATACTGACCTTCGGTCAGCTGATTGAAAAGAAATAAAATTAAAATAACACTCCCTTCGAACATGCACGCTCATCGCAAATCATCAATTGACACTTTGATTCGAACACGTTCCATCCGGCATCGGTATATCTACCCGTAACAAGCTACATATAGTATGCAGTGCCACAGCTGTTACCCAGATCCGAACGTGTTAAAGGGTCAATCGAGTCACGCAATGAAAGCCAAAAGGAATGACGATGTTTAAGATGGAGATGATTCTTCCTCCAGCACAGGTAATTTATTGGAGGAAGTGCGTTCAAATGTTCATGTCAAAGCTTCTAAGACTACCAGAAGGATCCTTTCTTATTTACAATTAACAAGGAAGCCTAAATTCAATCCGTCAAATTGTGTATCAAATTTTTAGAATTCTTATTTCTCATGCTAAGTTGATTTATCAGTTGACCGTGGAAATTTATGTATTCGTGAAAAGCAAAATTTTTAACCAAAGTAAAATAAGAAATTTGCATAAAAATCCGCAAGACCATAAAAATTCAAGGTTCGAGCAGACACCATGATGTTTCTGTATGTACAAGGACGATTCGGGGGAAAATTTTAACCCTCAAACGGCGATGATCGGATCATCACGACCTAAAAGGCGTACTAGGGTATGTTAACCCTCGGACAGCGGACCATGGAGAGAGCCAAAATTTTAATTTCATTTTGTACATCATATTTCAATAATTCTAACATATAAAAGACTCTGCTGCTGAAGGGTTAACATCAAAAGAATAATATCTACAGAAATGGTATAAAATTGAAAAATTAAATTTAAGTTTAGTCAGAGGAGATCTAGCTCCACCATTGGAGGGTTAAAAACGAAAGGAAAGGTCGAAAGCACTTACCTTAGAAAGTTTCTCGCCCTCGTGGTGCGGCAGCAAGGTCCTGAGCGATTGGAAACCGGCGTTAATACTTTGCATCCGACGTCGCTCGTTGCTGTTGGCGATTTCTCGCCGCATACGCTTCTCCTGCTCCATGTGGCTACGCGGTGTAACACGGCCGACGTTGCTGGCACCGTTACCGTTGCTCAGAGCAACGTTCTGACCAGCAACACGCCGGGATACCGTGCCGTTGCTTTTCGATTGCTGTTGCTGTTGATGATGTTGCTCTTGAGAATCAGCGACCTCGGCGACCGTCACGCCCGTGGTCACCGAGCCCTCCTCTACCGCTCCAATATTTCTGCAACAAACAAATCATTTCTTCATTTCACATCGATCAATTTCAATTTTTCAATTGATTCGATTTCAATTTCAGATTTGTGGAATTTTTTAATTTTGAAATTAGAATTTTTAATTTACAAGTTCACGAACCAAATGAAAATTTTCAAATCACATAAGTCGAAGCGTGTTCGCACACGGATCAAAGTGTTAAAGATTGAAATAAAAGTAGAGAAATAATTATGGTGCAGATGGCAGAAAAAAAAGACATTAAGAGGAGTACAGTGGTTGCAGTCTGCTGAAAAGTATTTCAACGGAGCCATCAAAGAGAATGGCCGAAAATCAAAGCGACGAGATGGAAGAGTGACACTCGCGGTATCTCTGTGCCGCAACCCCATGCGATGTCCACGTTTCGTCAGGGTTTTCGTCGCGGTTCTAAATATTTGATTCACAAGCAGATACGAGAGCAGAAAGTAACAGGGGGGGCCCGGAAACATAAAAACGGCTGTCTGACGGTCCAAGGGCTTTTAAAGAAATTGAAAGCGTCGGAGCTGTTTGTTTCGCGAATACTACTACGTACCGAGACTTATCGACGGTTAAATCCGCGGTCAATGAAGCGAGACGTCATTGTCATTCTGTGGTTACTATTTCAAAGACCAACTACTTCTTCTCTTTTCAATTTACCAAAAACTTGTCTTTTCCGCTTACAAACTTTCATCAGAATAATTAGGCAAAAGTATAATTATTCTCCTAATTAATGCAAAAAGTTATGTAACAGTGGCTGTTAAAGTGTCAAATAAAAAATTTTTTTAAAAATTAAACTATGATTTATTTACGGTTCAGAACAGCTGATCAATGAAACGATAAAAAAAAGAATACTATAGCATTTGAAGATATTAGTTACCGACAAAACCGTGTATCATTAGAGGTAATGAACAGTTTCAGAAAGGAAGAAACGAAGGTTTCGTTGCCGGGAAGTGGGAAAAGAAAGACGAGAGGAAACATCTGGTAAAATTACAGAGACACTGAGATAAAAGGAGAGAAACGAGGGAAAAAGATCGGGTGTGAGATGAATCAGCAGGGAAAGACCGTGACCTTGTGGCCTGCTCTCAAACATTCGTTCACTGCGTGCCGATAATACACCTAGTATATGTCCATATGTGTATATATACAACATACAGAAAGTATGATATATGATTAAATATTTCACTTAATCTTCAGTCGCGTCGGTACCAGCAACTCTACAGGGGGCGGCAAAAGTATTCGCGCACCGTTTAAAACGGAATACCTCGTTTAAAATTGGACCGAATGACTGGAGGTTTAAAATTTTATCGAGGATCGATCAATGCACTTCGAAGTTACAAGTAATTAAAATTTCCGAAAATCGTAACTTTTCATCTGTGAACGTGACTATTTCCCTTCTTTTGCAACCCACTGTATATTGAACCCGTTTAGGTCACTTATACCCTAAAACGTCTAAATAAACTGGCCTCGAACTTTGACCCTTCGAGTATTCTATAGATTCACTGTGAACTAAGACATTATGTGCGATCAATTGAGAAATATCAATAATAAAAGTATGTTAAAACAAAGCTGTATACTCGCGAGCAATACACGCGTATCTAAATAGGGTTCATCCCTATTTAGAAACCAATCCCCCCGGAAACGGAGGGCCTACTCTATAAATAAATCCTCTAGCTTCGACTTCTAAATTTAATTTAAAGGAATATATCCAAAAATCTTTAAACACGTCCCTTGGAAAGTCACGAAAGGAAAAATGCCGAATAAGAATCAGATTGGTGAACGATCGGAACCGGTGTACTTTCTACAGGATATACAATAATAACACGTGGTCCACGGAACAGAATTCCGCATGGCATTCTCCCATCGAGTGGTTACATTAGATCAGCTGGTACGCCGACGGCTTGGATGGTTGGCTGCTGTGACGTCAGCTTGTTCGTTGAATACCCGCTGGGTTCACTCGGATCACTCCCGTAGAAGTAGGTCGACTAAGTAGGTGGCTACCTTCCTTTTCATCGCGGACCTTCTACATATACATCGCTCTTTCAAACGGTGTAAACAGAGGATCTTAGCCCGCACGGTTAACGAGACAGCATAATCGGCCACGAAAGATTCCTAGACCCGTACCTCCCACAATGCTAGAAAAAGCTAGACCGAAATAGACGGCTGTCGGATGATCGAGAGTGACGCTTTCGAAATTCTCATGAATTATGATCTCATAACGATACCCCGGATTCTCTATGAACGCGGCTTATCGTATCTCGAGTGTTTACTAAACGGGCCTTATCGTATCAGATAATACCACGAATCTACTACGTTGGAAGCTTTCGTACGAACCCGTTCGGTAATTCACCAACGGATGCTGAAACTGTTACCGTAAAGTGCTCACTTGACCCCTTTTCACCGACTCAATCACGTAATTTTTATATTTAAGAATTGGATTAATAATAAATTAATAATGGTGACCCGAATGTACTTGAATAAAAAATTGAAATTTAGAAATTCCCCCATATAATAGCAATTAATGTATTTAAAAAAAAAAAAAATTACCATGAATAGAAACGCAGTGTGGAAGAACGGCGTACGCGCGGAAAACCGCGACACACGTACACTCCCGTATAGGCGCACGCACACACTGAACAGTCCGGCCACGTCCGCGTTCCTATATATACATATACAAATGCGTCGGTGAGTAGGCTGTTCGCGCACGCGCGCGTCTCTGTGTTGGTGATAGAGCCGCGGGAGAACAGGCAGATCGTGCGATTGTGTTGTCGACGGCGCGCCGCTCTCGGTCAACTCGCGTGAGTCACCAACAGCTGATGGCTGGCGCCACTCAGCTGGTTGTTACCGGTGCCTTCGCACGAGCCTCGCTATCTCTGGCTGCCTATCAGCTGCGAGCACAACTAGGAAACGACCGGAAAGGACGTCTTGTCGAGCTTCTATAAAAAAAACCCGACCGAGAGAGAAAAAAAAAGACGCACCGCGCCGCGCCGCACCGCGCCGGCCAGCTCGAACGGAATCAATGAAACGGGCTTTCGTTTTAGGGCTACGTCTCTCTGTCGCGATCGCCTCGATGGTAGTACACGGTTCGATGCTGTCGCACGATAGAAAGGTCAAGGTTCATTGAAAAGTCAAGTAAATTCATGTTCGAGTTTAGCTACGATTCCATTCATCGGTTACAATAAATAATCTATTACGATTCACTTCGTTATATTTCTTAGTGCTTCAGCACTTGCTATATTCTTTTCATAAAGAAATATTTAATAAAATTGAATATAATTTAAAAAATGTAATAATTTATATTTTACCAAAATTTTTCATACGTTTGAACTTACTTTTGTAACGCCACGAAGCGAATAAAACTGAACCGAGAGCAGCCAACGCGGTACAGGAAGTGAAGTGAAAGGAAGAAAAGGGAAGATAGGTCTCCGCAGTGCGTCTGATAGGCTTCCCTTTTGTAGGGAGAGGTTTTCCGAGGTAGCTTGGCTGACTGGGGTGTTCAAACCCCAATGTAAACCATCTTACTCACACATACCGACCGGACGTAGGACACATGCTCTCACACGTGCTCGTTCACGACCGTTTGAAGAACGATATGCAATTCCCCTGTTCCACCCAAACTTGGCCTTGAGTCCATATATAGGGTGGCTCGAAAATATTTCTCCCATAACAGTTGCTTATGGTGCATACTATGTACCTTATTCGACGACAAAACGTTAATGATTTAACCGTTAAAGGGTATCATAGGTGAAATTTGTTCTCCTACCTACTTTACATATCAAATTCGAGTAAAGGCTTTCATTTTTTTGATAGCGGACCATGGAGAGAGGCACAATTCTAATGTAATTTAGTAATGAATTCATTTGAAAGTACTTAAGATGAAATGATTAGATTTGAAAATTATTAATTTCAAAAAAAGTGATTGTAGAATGATAGAAAAGGATCGGATTACATGAGGGTGAGTGAAACAAAGAGAAGGAGGGAGAGGACGGAGAGCAATTTCGCGGATGTCTGGCAGTAAGGATGCCTGCTGTCGTGTTAGCTCACACACGGGATGGAATGAAGAACGAGGATGGGAATGAGATTGAGAACGGCCAGGCATATATTTAGCTGTGTGACGTAAGGCACAGGCCATCGGGCGCCACGTCGGCCTCTCTACGTGCCTCCTCTTCTCTCGTCTCTTCTCGTTCGCCTCACTCGTATTTCCCTTTTGCTCGAAATCTCGCTTTTAGTATCCTTCGAATTTACTATCCCGAATTTAATTGATTTTCAATATTTATTATTTTCACTGATTCCATCAGGAAGCAACGTCCTGAATGAATTGGATAAGGTAAAGGCCGCGTGGGTCGATGAATATTCATTGATGGAATTTCAGCCGCGCAGGAAGTGGAAATGCGTAAACTGAAAGGAAGGAACATTCTTACATTCTGACGCACTATACGAGCACTATCGACTATCGTTGGTGGTCTGTTCGGGATCGTTAAAATCCGACCAGTTGGTCAAGTCGTTCCACGCATCAGGGCACTCGCATTCCGATCCCCGACGATATATAAATTCTCATTGTTTTCCTAGCAGGTGTGACACCGGCTGATTAACAGCCTGCTGTGTACATATACAGCGACAAAAATTCACGGTGCGAAGCAAAGCTGGATAATAACGTAACGCAATCGCAAAGTCGCATTGTCGGCCGGTCTAAGGGACGAAGTATTCGCAACAGAAGGCAACGTCGAATAATAAGATCCAAGAGGTAAAAATTTTCTTGAAAAAAGCCTTTCTCCGTGAATGTCAGAGAAAAGGCACATTTTCGCATTGTCGAACACCTGAATCTCTTCTCCTGCTTTGAAAATGGAGATAGGACAGTCTCTGGAAGGTCAGGGAACAAAGAGCCGGGTGTGCGATATTTCTATGCCTACGAAAAACCCAGGTAGCCGCGATTCGAAGGGCCAAGATCCTTTGTTGAGTATCCGCGACCGGTGAGAATACACGGAAACGGTCTTAAAATAACTCCAAAAATATCTGAGGTATACCCTCGCAAGACAAAATAAATAATTCACATAATTCATTTTCAATTTTTAATCAGAACAGAAAGTTTACGATGTCAGTCAAGGGTTAAAGCGAAGAAAAGATATATCCAGACAGAGCCGTTATTACCGTCTGAAGATGGTCCCTTCGATTTTATCCATGAGTAATACACGCACACATGTACATACATAAGATTAGTTTTGCGGTGCACAGTGAGTACGTGGAGCGTAAGAGGTCAACAGAGAAACCATTGTTGTCTGCTGGCAGACTCCACAACTGGAAGGCGTTTCAACGCTGTACAGGCCATTTTCGCAGTTTAACCATCTACCGTGGTGAAGATAAAAAAAATCAAAAGGACTCGTGGTAAAAAGTGGGATCTCTGTACCTGAAGGGAAACGTTATCTCAAAGCCTTATATACGGTGAATGAAAAAGTATCCAACTTTGATATTACAAAAATCTGACCTGGGAATTTGAAGAGAAATATAATTCTCTTATTTCTATGAGAAATGAATACACCTTCGTGTAAATGAGTTCTGAGCAAATTGTATCTGGTTTGCGACAGGACCAAATGAAATCTTCGAAGACCCCTTAGTTGATAAACTTGGTTCAAAAATTGTAAAAAAAATTGCATTCAATATTTTTTGTTATAATAAATGGAAGGCTTGAAAGGGAGTCCCCTGGAAAGTGGGACCCGGGGCGATAGCCCCCCTAGACCTCCCCTTAATCCGGCACTGGTTTGCAGTGAAATGCAAGCATCGTAGAGGAATCGTTAGCACGACTGTTCAACGGACTTAACCCTTGGCCGCAAGTACGGCGCGGCGGGTAACGAGATTTGAAAATATACAGTTCCAGCAAGTGTTAAGTCCATTCCTAGACGATACCAACCAAGTGCCGAGATTTTGCAGTACAATGACGTGACACCGCAATGTGTCACCGTGGCTCTTTTTGCGTGCAAACGATATTATACTTTCGAGACAGAATTGTTTATTGTATCACCCTAAGGAGGGGCAGGGTAACCCCTTAAATTAGGTCCAAACTTTGCATAATTATGTATCTAAAAAAATTTATTTTTAAACCCCCAATTATTAAAGTAATCATTACTGTTATTATATTCTCGCGCGATTTTTCAAATAAACAGAAAGGCGGGAAAATATTAAAATTTACAGCAGTAATTAAGAAGGTGCAAGCTGCATTTATTAGATGCAAATTGCAATTTGAAAATTAGTAATATTGCAACGTACCCTAAACGAAGCTCTCAAATATAATTTTTATTATGTACAAAAGAAGCGCGAAATTGCAAATTAACAATTTTATCAAACGTGCAGCTGTCAAAGTGTTAAGTTTATAAAATTTCATTTCATTAGTACGTGTTCGCGTATCGGACTATCCAATTAAATTCGTTATCTCATTTTTACGCGATTCTATAATTAACCATGATCCCCGAAACTCTTCTTATCGAGCATTTGTAATACCCGTTCTAAATGGGCGCAAAATTTATTGACGAATATAACGGTGTCATGTTTTCTTTGCGAAATAAATAACAAATGAGAAATCAATATATTTCTCTTTAATTATTAAGAACTGGAAATACAAGGTTTCGAGGGAAACCTTGCATGTTTCCTGCACTTCTTATCTTCAAAGTTAAAATATAAATTAATGTAGATAATTGAAAACGAATTAAAACTGTTAAACGTAATTAACAAAGATACATTATAAAGTTATACTACTGAAAATAGAATATGTGAGTCATACTTAACTCCATTATGGTTATTCAACAAAGTAAAAATAGAAAACATTACTAATCCACCTTATATAAACACTCTTTATTTTTTTTTAAACTTTGCGAATTAAATTCGAATTGTAATTGCAAAAAAGTAGTAATACGAAAAGGTGTTAAATGCAAGCATACTTATTCACAGAGATTAAAAGTTGATTGCAGACGTAATGCACGATCTCACCTCCCTTCTTTACACATAAATATTTGATGTATAAATTAATTCGGTATCAGATAAGTATATATTAATTTCAGTTAAATACAATTTTAATAAAGAAAGACAGGACTAAATACCCTTAGAATATCTACACAAATAAAAAAAGATATTCAATGAAAAATAAGAAAGCAGTAAACGAATTACTGAAAAAATAAGATTCTAATCGTTTTCGACAATTATTCTCTTCTTGCAAACTGACTGTACGTATAAAAAAGGCAGGCATGTACGATATGGTGCAACTACGTTGACCGTGGTCAGGATCGGTTCGACCGATTTATTAAGTCGTGCAAACGAGCTTCGGAAAAAAGACTAGCATCTCACAGTCAAGCGAGTTTTATTCTCCAGCGGTTGATAAACGATGTGGTGATAATAAGCAAGGCGTACACGCACACCGACAAAGAAAAGGCCGACGTAAATACTGAAAGAAAATCGATAAGGGCAACCAGCGACAATAATTTTATCTGGGTGCAACATGTCGTAGAAAAAACTAGACAACGATGGGGCTGACCACGACAAAACCTTTTTTTATAGGAACTCGTTACGACACTTTTTTTTTTCTTTAATTTCCAAATTACTTAAGCGAGAAAAATACACTAATGTTTCAAATTTTGTAAATTTACAAAAGTAAAATCGTTCCTTCTCAATTTTTATAAATCATGATAATTTATAAGATTGATGATTTGGTACTT